CCCGACCGCCAATGGTAGCTGAGAATTAAGGGCCCAAAAATTGGGGGTTTAAAAAAAAAAAAAAAAAAAAAAGGCAGTTAAACCTGTCAGCCTTTTATGACAATTCTGAATCTTCTCCATCTTCAATTTACTTTTGACTTAAAAGAATTTAAAGGGGTTTTATCCACTACTTATAATCAAAAAATTCTTATTCCTTACATGCACCTGTATGTATCAGAAATCAGCACCTGCAAGTCTTCGAAAATACTAATTTCTAGTACTATATCCAACCTTGCAGCTAAGTGTTGAAAATAACTGTTCATTTATTTGGTAGTACAATTAGCAGTGTTCAGGAACATAAAGTTGATTTTCCACCACAGAAAGCATATTAAACAAAATGTTTTATGCAGTACTGTTGAAAAAAAATAAAGGTATTTTCAATGATTGTGCTTAACAGGCTAAAGATTCTGCATAACAAATATACTCTATGATGAAAGTTGGTTATAAAGTGACCGTCTTGTACTAATGCAAAATTAATCTTGGGAATATTTTCAAAATACATGATATTTTAAAAACTTAAGATTCTGTGAAGAATAAAACAAAATAACATCTGAACATTTAGGTATACTTTCAAAATGAAACACAACATTCTTTTATTAAGCAGTCTCAGCAGGCATAAGAAGGAAAAAAAACCCAAACATTTTAATGTGGGCAGTAGCCCAAAACCTTTAATAAAAAAAAAAAAATGCTATTTTGAGTTGTACATTATTATCAGTCTGAAGAGCTGCTCCAAATCAGAGCTATTACAGTATGCACTCCCAAACTACTCTAACAAAGATGAATCTACCTATTACCAGGTTAGGATAGCAGCTATTATTATAGACCCTTGATTTCTTTCAAGTAGCTCCAATGGAATAAGCCACAAGTGAATAATAAAGATCTTATAATAGCCCTTAAGAATTCTTTTTAGGTTAGAAGGCACAGAAACGAACTCAGGAGAGTTAAAGAACTCTCATCTCCTGATAAGAAAAATAATTAACCTGACTTAATGTATCTGAGTAGGTCTTATATAAATCAGACTTTTGTACTTCAAGAGCCAGACTAAAACCATGTATCAGAAAAGTATGTAGATATTGTCTTATAAGTACACATGGAACATATCTAAAACCACAAAGGTCTGCAGGTCATTTTGTGAAATGTTCAATATATTCTACTTAAAAGGAGATGTGTGAAGTACTTACAGTGCTTAGTTTGCTAGAGGTAATAATGATTCGTCTCTCATGCAACATACTGGCATAAAGTTGCAGCATGTTGTTCACATCCACAGCAACAAAATATTCAGTGAGGTTTCTCTGTTTAAATAAATAAGATGTTAACAATATAGCAACAGTAGTAGCTAAGTGGAGCATTTTATATATTACTTACAAAAATTTGTGTCCAATTAGTAGGTGGGAAAAAAAAAACCCAACCCAAAACTATGAAAGAAATCCCTTTGCATTAAAATTTGTATGCTTTAAGAATAATTGACTGGGTTTTAAAGCCAATGAAAAATTAACTGTGGTGTAAGTTATTAATATTTTGCTCATTTGATTATGCTTGTGAATTTAGATTTGCCCTTTTTTTCCAGATTTGAAAAAAAACATTAAATTTGGTATTATATCAATAGCACCATATGCTATTAAGGTAACCATTACTTCCAACCGAGGAACAGATCTTCCACCACTGCAATAACTGTTCTGTCATAGCTACAATAACAAAACTGTGCTATTTTGCCGGGCTCTCCCAACACATTTTATTCTACTTCAAGTACAGCAAAACAGCTTGCTGAAAAACACCAAGCTTTTGCTTGAGCTGCATGTGCCAGGACATCAAACGTCCACCAGCACTGGTAGAAGGTACTGGGTCCTTCCCGCAGCCACCCTTTTCACCCCAAAAAGAACCCCACTGCCATCCCCACTGGGGGGTTTAATGAAAAGCAAAGTCACCAGCACCTCTTATTTATAGTTCAGACAACACAAAAGTGGGGGAAAAAGAGAAAGGGGGGTGGGGTGGAGGAAGGAGGATGTCTGTGTTCCAGCTGAAATTAATAGTATTTCTGCATGGCACAGTGCCAGAGACATACAAGCTCTAAATAAGCTACAACAGCTACCAGCAAAAATGCCTAGGAAAACAGCAATTTTTTGCAAACTTTAGAGAATATGTATGAAAATATACTAATACACCCCACAATATACAAAACACTTAATTTCACACATTCATTATTGTATCTGCAACTAGAACTCTTACCCATCTCTTCTCAGGAACAACATATTACTGAACATTAATATAGGAGGTCTATCAACTATATGCCCCAACTCAAGGACAGAAATATGAACAGTGGAACTCTTAGTCTATACTGGACGTGGCCAACACATGGCAGCAAGGTAATGCACCCCTGAAATAACAAGTGGTAAAGGCTTCACAGCGGGGTGACCCCCCTGACTGCCGGCAGCTCCCCCACGGGGGCCAGGACACAGTGGCCAGCTGTGGCCTCCCCGGCTTACAGCCCTCCGCAGTCAGGGAACGCGGTGTGGGGCAGAGCTGCTGTTCACCAGCTGCTGGTTTATCTCCTTACAGACTCTACTATATGAAAAGCTAACTTCAGTTAAAGCCCAGATGATGATCAGAAGACTGACCTCCTTTTTGGATATATTGCGATATTAAATAAAAAAAGATATTGACAAACAAAAATCCAATGGACGATGCAGTTCCATGTAAATTCAGAAATGCATTATTAATTTGAAGACACGGAGTATAGAGTTATTCTTGGTCCATGCCGCATAAAATTTTGGAAGAGAGAAAAACAAGAGCTTTAAGGCTACAAACACTCAATTTAGAAAGAAACTCTGGTCTTTCAAGTGCTTCCTTTAACTAGTTGTCAGAGGCTGATGCCCCACGACAATTCGAGTCCAATTTACCTCGGACACCCTCTAACACTGTAGTTGACAATGGTATGCTGATTCTGTGTTGCAAAAGCTGTGGTAAAAAGAGTTTGCAATCTTGTACAGACCAATATATCTTTAGGAGACAGTCACAGTTATTCCTACATTACATCTGAAAAGTTACTGCCCCTGAAATATGTGAATCTTGCAACAAAAAATAAGAAAATTCATTTTATTGCTAGTTTACTGTAATTACCTCACCTCTTCACTCCCTTCATGTTCTAACCCTCCATTAGTACCATACTATTTTGATTCATACTGGAAGGATGAGACTTTTTTAAATGAAGTAAAAAATAATTATAAAAAGGCACCTTGAAAATTACTTTTCCCTTCTCCCACAGAATCAGAAAAATAAATCCACAGTCGCACCATCTCAAGACCCTCCATCAGCCAGAGGCCCAGAGTGAAGCTTCCCACATTTTCTTCAAGTTGAACACATAACGCGCCTTCTAACCTCCAAAGCTGTGTTTTATTAGAACCCCAAATAATAAGCTAGAACAAGAGAATTCTTTAAAATAGAGGAATTCGACCCGTAGGGTGAAACAGATGAAAATAAACATTGAAAAGCTATGCCCTGTCCTGCCCGAAGAGCCCTTGCAACAAGGGTCCTCTCTTTTACTCCTCTATCCAGCAACTTTCCGTGGTTTTCTGGGTTGCAACAAGGGCCGCGACATCTCCTCTGTGTCCCTGGCACAGACTCCTTTCCACCACCACAGACGTACCCGCAGGCCTCCTCTCCGCTACAAGCACCCCACCGTTCCTCGCCAGCCTAAGCTTCCCGGCTCCGTTGCCTTCCCTCGCCCATCCCACCCCGCGGCCCAGGAGCCGCTGCCCGCCCGGGATGGTGAGGGGCACAGCCTCCCCTCTCACCCGCAGCGCGGAGCCGGGGCTGCAGCGCGGAGCCGGGGAGCGGGCGATCCGGACGCCCTCCCCACCGCACCTCACCGATGCGCCACCGCAGAGGCTGTGAGCACGCTTCTGTCACACTTTCTGAACAAACACCACAACATCTACCAAGAACGAGTTCTGTGGTACTGCGTGATTTTCTACTGTGGTGAACCCCCCAGCAGCTTAACTTTCAGAAGGAAGTTATTATTTGAAAGTGTAAAAATGCACATCTATACATCCATATTCAATTCCAGATTTAAATGCAAGAGTAGAAAGCAGCAAGTTTTGAAGCTTTTTTGTTAGATGTTATCCAGCTAAACACATCATAGAGAATGTGATCTGAGATTTCACATTTGCAATCTACCCACAGCACCATCAAGGATTTAGCATCTACAGAATGCAAGTCTTCATAAGAACAAAAAAACCCAATAATAATAATAACCACCACCATTCCTGGCACATGGTTACCATCCAAATGTAGGCAGGTATGGCATGTTTTCAGAAAGCCTGAAACAATGCCTTCTTACACAAAAAACAACTGCATATCTTGATAGCTGAATTTGCAGCTTAGCAAAGCAGTGTTTAAAGGGCAGGTATTCAAATAACACGAGGTGCAGAAGTAGAATATATTTTACATAAATAATCCCAACAAATGCAAACAAGCCAAGTAATTATGAACAAAGGGTGGATATAGCAGTGATCAAAAATGACCTGTTAATGCCTTAAAATAGGTGAATGATGAATGCAACTGTAACTACTAGCTAAAGGTTGTAATAATAGACATCAATCATATTCTAAAAACAGTCCTAGAAAAAAAAACATCTCCTATTGATAAAAGCAGAGTTCAGCCCTACCCACAGAATGAGGTTGATACTTCTCCTAAATATTTAAAAAAAAAAAGAAACTGTATACTTACGCTTTCAGGGATTGTTGGCAATCCAGTTATATCAGGAGTAATGAAATACGAGTGCTAATGAATGGGGAAAAATAATTAATAATTTATGCACACAGAAACCAAAAATTCTTTTGGAAAAAATCCAGCATTTAGGATTTCCAACCCCATCTTTGTTTAAGCAAATAGCCATTTTTCCAATAGCATTCTTACCACTACTAGACAAAGAATTAAGCAGATCACAACACAAAATGACAAGCTCTGGTTCAGCACAGCACACAAACCAAGGGAACAAAACACTGGGCTGCAGTTTTGAAATAACACTGAAATTAAGCCAGCTTTAAATGTTTTCACGAGCCTGAGAGCAGCATTGATTAACTTAGGCATTAATTTAAAAATTGCAACCAAAAAAAAATGTTAAAGGACAAAATGTAAATTTAGAATGGAAAAGAAAAAATAATTCACATGAGAGAATTAATTAGAATAGAAATATTATTACTTGATATACATTCTCTTCTCTTTCCAAACATATTTGAATCAAAAATGTGTGAACAGAAATGCAAGATCTGACAGCTTGAGATTCCACAATCATTTATGAAATACATTAGCAATTTTATGCATCTTAGTTTGAGGCCATCTAGGATGTAAGTATAAAATGGATTAAACTAAAAACAGATGTAATTTAAATTATTCTCATTAATCCAGTGCTTTTACTAGTTACCAGACATGGATTTAGCTCAGTAACTTTTAAGGCATTTTTGCATATTAGTCTAAATCTTGAAGGACAAAAAACCTTAAGTGCATACTAAGTAAATGTGATAATTATTGACTTTCTAGCTTTTATTTGTTTTTAATAGAATTTTGACATTTTTCGTAGACTTTCTTTGTTTTTATAGTCTATTTTAAAATTATAATTAACAACACAAAGACACAGTTTGTTTTCAAGTCAAACTTGAAAAAGATATACCAAAACATAAAGGAAGTCTATAAGATATTAAATGTGTCTTGTGTTCAAGCAAAAAAAAATTTATTAATACTATTAACTCTGTGTAGGAGACTTATTAAACCAGCTTGATACATTTAATAGAAAATTTTCCCCACAAATTAGGTCATTTGGCAATAGTTAAAAATTTAAGAAGAAAAATTGGCTTAAAAAAGGCATCTCATAAACATCATAGCACTCGCACAATAAATATCCCAGGTTATTGTTTTGCATCAACAGACAAAAAAAGCTAAGATTTTTTTTCTCTAGTCAAGAACAGGAAAATATTCAAATTAATGGAATGCCTACATTCTTCAGAAGTATAGTGAGAATAGAAAATTATTTCCTATATGTAATAAGGTCACAGAATATTTATCAAAAGATTTCTGAGTAATGAAGTTAATAACTTAGAGAAGTAATTATTTATAATTAACAAAGTAATAATATTTCACTCATTAAACAGAAAAGGAAGTCAGAACTATGAGAAGCAAAGACCCATTACTGCAGTCATTAAGAGTCATAAAGCATCAAAAATAATGTGGTATGGAGTCCTTGCACATCTTTGTGAACTCCCTTAGGAAGATGTACAACCTTCGAAGAGATACTAAATGAATAGTTGCTGTCCTGCAGAAAGTTTTCTCTAAAAAGGACACTAGAAAATGCCAGTTTTGTTCATCTATTTAAGGGTTTGATTTTGGTTGCGGTTTTTATGAAAGGATTATGACACACGCTCACATAGCTCTGAAGTTAGATTGATTTAAACAGAATAGTTACATTAATATTAGACTGCTCTTTTAGGCTAAAGACAGCAGCAGAATTTCCCAAAGGACAGGTATAAGTAAGCCTGAAACCAAAAGAGATATGCTATAGCAAGTAATTATTTCTTTAATTACAATAGGCTTTAGATAGTGCCTTTTAAACTCACCGATACAAGACAAGGCTGTTTTTTCAAAACTTGCTCACTTGCAAAAATCATCTCTTGGTTCTTATGCAAGATGAGAGAAAGATTGAACAATTGACTTTTTAGTTTTCCAACAGAAAGGCCAAAGCTGACTCTAATGCTTGTAATATTCCATGTTTAAAATATTGGCTGAAAATCTGTTTTATTCTCTGTATTCCTACCCCATGTGAATTCAGACCTAAGTTAGCTAGCTTTTCCAACAAAAAGAAACAAAAAAAAAAAAAGAAAAATCACTTTTGTTGGCCCTCTATGGGTAAAATAAAAGTGACTCAAATTATATTTAAGCTCGGGTTTCACAGGACAAATGATTACCCCTCATAAATTTCAGCTGCAGAATATTTTTTACTGGGACCAACAGGTGAAAGTAAAACTTGGTCCCTAACTGGATCAAGGCATTTTGGTGTCCTCCTGACCAAGGACTACTGGGAAACACCATGTATCCAGATACTGGCCATAATTTATGCATGATTATATACATGCAATCCTAAGTACCATTGTGGTCTGCCATCAAAATCCCGCTCTAACATCTATGAGTAAATGGGAGGAGGGATCTTTTTAATTCTGCATCATGAAATTTGAACTAGACTCATCCTGGCACAACAAAAAGGCACTCATGATGTCATTTCTACAATTATTTTTCAGACTGTAACTTCTTTTTAAGTCTATTACTACTGACAGTCTAACTTATTCACAATATACAAGGAGCAAGAAAGGAACATCAATATAAAAGACTAGGCACACAAAGTTAGAGTTGCAAGTGGTCAGAAACATTTCACTGCTCCTTGCAGCACTGAGAATTACAAAAACAGATATGCCTGTAGATCCAACAAGGATTCCGATCCAGGCTAAGCTATTCCTTGCTGCTCTGCCCGGTCTGAACCCACAACATTTGCTCGACTGTGCAGATTAGATAATCATTGTTCCGCTAAAAAAATTACAAAACTCTTTGATGTAACAAGCTACTGGGAACAAGAGACAATTGAGAAAAAAAAAATTCAGAAGTCAGAGAAGGTACCGCATCCAGCTCTGGAGTCCTCAGCACAGGAAGGACGTGGACCTGTTGGAGAGGGTCCAGAGGAGGGCCACAAAAACGATCAGAGGACTGGAGCACCTCTCTTATGAGGAGAGGCTGAAAGAGCTGGGGTTGTTCAGCCTGGAGAAGAAAAGGCTGCAGGGAGACCTTATTGCAGCCTTTCAATACTTAAAGGGAGACTACAAGAAAGATGAGGACAGACTTTTTAGCAGGACCTATAGTGATAGGACAAGGGGTAATGGTTTTAAACTAAAGAGGGTAGATTCAGACTAGATATAAGGAAGAGATTTTTTACGATGAGGCTAGTGAAACACTGGAACGGGTTGCCCAGAGAGGTGGTAGATGCCCCATCCCCGGAAACATTCAGGGCCAGGTTGGATGGCGCTCTGAGCAACCTGATCTCATTGAAGATGTCCTTGCCAGTTGCAGGGGGAATGGACTAGGTGACCTTTAAAGGTCCCTTCCATCCCAAAGCATTCTATGATTCTATAATATTGAAATAAAACCAGCAAGCATCAACTTTCTTGCAAGCAATTTGTCATCCCAGTGTTGCCAGCTGTATTCACCACAACATCCATTTCCAGGTTCATCACAACATTCATTTTGAGGTAAGCAAGTTCTGTGCAAGATGACCTGCAATGCTGACTGCAACAGGCAGTAACACTTTGCTAGAAATGGAAGGAAAAATATCTTTAAAACTTCTCTATGTCCCTCTGAAACATAGTATCATTTTTAAAGGACTTTATAAAGCATTTTAGGGTTGCCAAACTAGAATTGGTTATAATACTGCAATTAATGACAGCAAAATATTATTTGATATACAGAAGTATTCTTGGCAAAGGTACTATGAACTGAAAAATGACTTGAAAATACTACACTGACAACAGAAAGACAAAACTTAGCAACAGAAACAATTCTGACTGCAGCCTCAAAAACCAGCACATTGTTCCAGTGAAAAACAACACACAAGACTGGAAAGACTTCCAAATACAGTGGATTAGCACTGTTCAAGAGGGAAAAATACTAGGCCTCTTTAGCCTATTGAAAAAAGCATAACAAGGAATCTGAAATACAACAAATTAAAATGAAATAAAGGTAGCATTATGTTAAGCAGCAAGGGCGAGTAACTACTGGAACAGAAGTGGTAGACTCCATTTCTGTATGCCTTCATAATAGAGCCAGATGCTTTTCTAGAGCCTGTGCTTACTTTACTCGAAATATTGGGCTCAATTAAAAGTAACAGGAAATGACACAAATAAGGTCAAGATAAATAATCTAATGATCTTTCAGTATGTGCGTAAGAGAAGCCTTTACAAAATCACCTCTTTCTGTGCCCTGCAGACTGTGCTAGTTCAATCAAGAAACAGTTATTTGCACACAGTTACTTATGCATGCAGTAATTTTACAGATGCCGTGAACATCAACAATGTCTCAGAGACAGCAGAGGCTCTGTATTGCCTTTACATTTCATGCAGGCTCTACAAATGTATTTAAACATGTGTCCATATGCCATTTCTGTTAAAAACTGCAGGAACTGTGACAGGCTCACTTTTTGATGTTTCTGCAGCAACACCACCTTGCCATACTATCAATGTCCAGTCCCACATCATGAGAAGTCAGAGCACAAAAGCAAGGTAGGCGTGGACACGTTCTTTTACCCAGATGTACTGAAAGTTTCATGTAACACAGTACACGTCTCCTACCATCTTTCCTACAGCATTTTTGCATGATCAAGCAAAACTAGGAAGAAGGGAAAGGAAGATGGGAAAGAAGCCAGCTTACACAGGTTTTTGTCCAATCCTGCAAGCCTACCTACTCAGACATAAGAGGCAATATAACAGAGTTAGTGTCTCCCAATTCACAGCAGGAGAAACCAAAATTATCTACATGAAACAGCTGGAAGCACAAAAAAGTAGTCCTAGCACTGCCAGATCCCACTGCAGTTTACTTTCTTATCCATACAGCAAAATTCAAATTTCTGCTTCTTTATGACTATGACTTCAAGAGAACAACATGAGACAGAGACAAACTCTATTCTGCACAGATAGGGGGGAAGGTTGTCCAAGCCAGTTAATGATGGGAAGCAACATAAGTTTACTCTTTGCAAAGGACTGTTTGGGGGGTTTTTTTGGCTCAACCTTACCTACTATTTCATAGTCAGTAATAGGAATAAGAGTTAAACAGAGAATACTTACCACACTTAAATTGACTAAAGCGTTCGCCTTTGGCACAGGATGGCTATACAATGATTTTAACAAATCATTTGAGTCATTTTCCTATAGGGAATATTTTTAAAAGGTAGTTAATTATTGTATAAAAACTGACTAATTACCATTTACTACACTTCGAACTATATATTGACAAAGATATATATATATTTAATGAGAAAGACAATTGCAATTTGCAGAGAAGTATTTATATATTAAGTATAACATTTGGGCCAACTTTGTGTCTCAGAAAATGATTGTATCTGCAAGTTAAATCAATCTCTCATATTTCCCCATATACTCCTTAAATGAATCACATTATTTGCAACTAAAAATAGTATTAACACATCTAGCTGGTCTGTGCATCTTGGACATGATCTTCCTAAAACTGATAGCCGTGACATTTGTCTGTTCAAAGTTTTACTAAATATGCAGCTACACAGTTCTATTGTATACTTTAAAAATGATTCATCAGAGCACATAAAACAGTTAATAAGGTTTACTAAAAAGTACACGCAGCTAGCGGGTTTATCTAGGATCCCCCATCCTGATCTCCAAGAGAGACATTTACTTGGGAAGAGATGCGGCTGGAGTTTTTGTTTGGTTTAGGGGTTTCATTCAGTTTAGCGTTTTTGTTCATGGAGATTAAATTCTTTTTGTTAGCAAAGTAAAACCAAAAATATCAGTGACAAGCCAGGGACAGATTTTAAATATATTGTTTGAGTTTGCAGGAAGCTTCTGCCTCTCCCTGCAAGAATGATGATGTTACTGGATCTTATTCTAGTAAACAAGACTTTGGGTCTAGCTCTTCATCAGACAAACAGTGCCTGGGCCAGGAGGAAGCAGTATCCTCTAACAGCCTCCTCAGCAACAGATATAGGCAATACAACAAAATATTTCCATACACTGCTAAAACTTTCTGATCCATCGGAACCGTTTTCTCAGCATATAGGACAACAAACTTAAAACCCAGTAACTTAAATTGGTTGCAGTAATAGCTGCAATGCCAGAACCAGTGATCAAGAAACAAAGGAGAAAACAATCCCTACCCCTTCTGTCAAATACAGCCTTAATAACAATTTTCACTATTACAGTGAAATCGGGGCCTAAACCAAAGTCTCATTATACCATTTATAAGACTTAAATGTATTCCACTTTATTTAAACACAGCTAACACCAAACTTTCCTCCTGCATTTTCTTTTTACATAAAATATCATCATTCTCTACAGTCCATTTACTATAATGCACAATAATTGCTTATTCTATAGTTCATATATTCTTGAAATGTCAGCTTTTCCAGTCTACAGCATATGGCTGACTATTGATGCTTCTTTTTTTTTTTTTAATTACAATCTAGTACACTAATATCGTTAAAGCAGAAAGGTATAGCTTTAATGTTCTCAGTAAAGACAGATGCCAGTATTTCCTCTCCTGCGTAATCCTGGAATACGTCTAATTGCTCATGAATATTCAAAGTAAACTATCATGATTCTTCACCAAAAGCTGCAAGTAATTTTGTCTTGCTAGTTGAGATGACAGAATTATGAGAGGTAGTTTTTAGTTAATATGAAGGGTGAAACAGTACATCATATTTTATGCAGTTCTGAAAAAAAGTGTTTGTAACTGATAATCAGATAGTTCCAGAGATCTACAGTTTACAATCAATACATCATACAGATCTCCAGTGATGTGACACTTTGCTCACACTTCACCCAGGACTTGTTTATGCTAAGACTGACACTTTATAAAGGTATATTCTCAGCAGCTTTTTAAGATTAATGTGGGATTCAAGTGACAGTGGCAGCTGTATGTTCAGATTCTTTGAATTTTAATATGATGAATGTAAAAACTTGATTCTAAATTCTACTAAAATTTTAAACTTTTAAACAGTATAGAATGACTTTACAGCACTTCAAATGGTGACTATTATTTCAAGGAAAATATTTATACACAAAGAAATAAAATATCGAAAATTACCTGTTCTTTAGCCAAATAATCTGCCAGTGTATTTAGGAGCTTGTAGTATACCTCAAACCATGGTAAGTAACTAAAACAGGAGGGGAAAAAGCATTTTAATAAAATAAAATATCAATGTATTTTTTCCAGTGCTTATAAAATACTACTATGGTTAATCTGACTTGCACATTACATATAAATAAAATGCATATAAAACTTTTCCCCACAAATTTAATGGTACATCACTGTGAGATACTAGCAAAACTACATTTCTTTATGCTGGACACCTGCTTGAAGTTCCATTAAGCATAGATTAGCTCATAATACTCTCACTTCTCATTATTTTAAAGGCACCAAAAATCATTTTAAATCTTGCCAAATCACATTCCCATTATCTTTAATTGTTATGATTGTCAGTAGTTATGTTATTTGCAATTTTGAAATTTGACATCCTGTTGTATCTGGTGGGCTGCCAGAACTGCTGCTTCCCCAGAAAATGAAAAACAAGTTTACCTGGGCAGACCAGGTACCCCATATTTGACAAGTGGTACAATGCTATGCAATAGTATAGATGTCATGTAAGAATATTTGTTTCCCTATAGAGTAATTTCTATAGATAGAATTAACTTCTAAAAATAAGTGAGCATTCACCAATATTGTAAACACACAGCACATTAATACATGAATACTTAATCGACTTTCAACACAAATCTTCATCCCATATGCGTGCAATACTCTCAGTGAGTTAAACAGCACCCAAGATAAATAAGACGTAACTGAAGAGCATGAGAAAAGAAACTCAAACACAGTGGCATTGGTTCCATTTTTTTTGTCATCTATTTACAGAACAGTTACCTTTAACAGTGACATCATCAGTGGCCTCATGCTATAGAACTTTCCATAATCACTATTTAAGCCTATGATACCGATGTAATAAGTCTGATAAACTACATAGTACCAGTATAAATTACTCCTTATTTACAAATTACACACCTTCTCATGCCTGTTAGAATTTTATCACAAAGAAGATTTACTAAAATGGTAATAGTACAGTTAATATTAGTTGTTTGAGATTAGATGGGGGGCTGGGAAAGAAATAAGGCCTGAAATATTTTTACTACATTTCATACCTACATGTAACAATACTACACACTTTGTTATTCAGTGCAGTGTAAATCCACGGACATACTTCCAATGCATTTCTTAAAAGCTTTAGTGTGTGCTGTGGACAGACCTTAAAATTTCAAATTTATATGTTTCAGGAAATATATAACTGCAACTGAAAAAGCCCAGTATGCAGAACCTGAATGTTTTCCCTGATAGGAAAAGGAAACCTGTTAGGGGAAACCCTGGCTGGCAGAGAAGCCAAGTTTACTTTTGTGCAGCAAGTCCAGTGAAGGGTTATGTTTTCTTTGTAACACCTCTGTTCTTAGTAGGCAGCTGGCAAGGCTTTAAAAACAGATCCCTTAGGGCAAAGAAAAGAACAGCAGAAATCTGAACATAGTTATGCATTTTGTAGCAATCCTACTTTGCTGTCCTTATAAATGCTTAACTGCTGGTTCTTAAAAAAAAAAAAAAAAACCAAAACAAAAACAAAACCACGAAAAACCATCATGAGTTTACACATGCCAAGCCAAAGTGACACAGAGGCAATGATTTCTTTTAGAGCCACTGTATTAATGTCTTTATCACACTTTACCATATACTGTGCTGGCTATTAATCAAAACTACATCAACCTCTTAATGCTCACAGACATTTTTAATGCTTGGTATTGTTGACAGTAGTTAAGGTGTGACATTATTGCATTTGCTTTTCAATATATTCCTATATAATCATAAAATTTACTTCATTGCACCTGTGTAAGGCCACTCACTGCTTACAGGCACGAACGCTGCATGCCCTTGTAAAACACCCATCATACCAGCACCTAAAACATCTGATCTTTGAGTTTTCTTCCACCTAGGACTCCTGTTCTATTATCTTCTGAAATCATGTTAACCTGGTTTTACATGTCACTGAAACGCAGCGCAGATAGGCAAACAAAATTGTTCACTACAGCATTCAGAGTACCTGCAAATGTCAGAGCTATTGAACAGTTTTACCAGCCTAGAATTACAGCAGGGACTGGAACACTCTTCTAGCATTTTGTCCAAGTCAAGGCAGAAGGTACATATAAATCACAAAGTGTTTTTATAACACTGGACACACAAGTGGGTTAGATTACCTAAAAGCTTTCCAGTCTTTTGCTATCACTTCTGCATTAGCAGTGTTCATCACCCCAGATATTTTGCTGTAGAATACTCTAAAATCTTATCTGATCACTCATTTTTCATAATGAACATTTATGAACAGCATTCTAAAAAAAATAAATGCTCCTACTTCAATAAAATATTAACCATATTTCTTTCTTGTATCTATGTTCTCAACTCCCGTCTTATGGCGAATAGAAAAATTAAATGCCGTTTTTAAGCCTATGCATAAAAAGGTCAAATTCATTATTTGAAATTAATGAACCCTAGCAGAAAGCCAAGGGAGATTTTTCTTTCATACAGCAAGGCATGCTGACCAGAGTACTCGTACAAGAATTTCTTCCCTTAGCAAAATCAGGTTGATGATACACTTCCATGTCTTCATGTAACAAAACCACAAAGAAAAACATTGTAAAAACAGACTACTTGAACATAGTTTAAAAATGCCAGTTCCCTTTCTGAGCTGAAAGATTGGAAAAAGAATTGCTTTAAGCCTTATAACCACAGACACGGGGTTAATGTAATTTCAATATGCCTCTTAAACGTGAAAAATTAAGGAAATCAAAACAAGTATTCCATTACATTATATGGCATGAAACCAAAGGCCACCAAGACCTGTCCTCTGTTTCTTTTCCACATAATCTTCTGTTCTGCAAAAGCACGGTTTAATTGCAATAGTTTTTGGTCAATATTTTTAATTATACTGTTCTTACTGCAATAAAATATTACAAAGATCTATTGGAAAGCAGAAAAGTTCCCTTTATATTTTTCTTTTATGTATTTGCTAATTGCTATTAATTCAGTATAATAAAGAATTGTTACATTTGTTGTTTTCATAAAGAGTGCATTTGTGCATGTGCATACACAATGCATCTCTGCATGCAGAAGGAAACATAAACACAGGTTGTGTTTGTTCATAATAGAGGGCGATATCAGGTGGTATTTTAGATTCTCAATTCAAAAAGCAAGTATAAGCTCTCTTTATTTTGTAACATCCTCACGGCTGTCAAACAACATTTTTGTCCTCTTATATCACAGGCTGATTTTGGAAGCACATGTGTTAATAATCCTATTAATTTATTTGGACTACTCTAGTAAATAGATTTATTCATAGATGAACATTCCCATGATATAGGCTTCACATCTTTATCCAGTACATCGTATTGGATAAAGCACTGTATATGGCACTTGTGTGTGTGTGTGATAGCTAAAAACCAGAAGCATTGCAGGTAAAAGAATCTTCTCAGCTTGCACCGTTGGCAAATCTTGCAAAATCATTTAATCTTGTTTAGCACAGAAGAACTAGTCTATGTACAGAAAAGTCATCCAGCACACAAATGTCTATCAACATCTGTTAGGCTGGGTAACAATTTTTTTCAAGTCAGTACAGAAATGCACTGTCTGCAAAAAATAGTTTTGAAATGGCTGCAGTTAATAGAGGAGACCTGCAATATATTACTCCTAACTCAAAACTGTCACACTAATATGTATGTACCTTAACAACAGATAAAAATCAAAATTAAGTCCATTACTCGAAAGACCTTACCATCATACTTGTATTCATAAAATTATTTATGAGCAGTGCATTTCATAATTAATTAGCTGTCTTACAAAAACGTCAAAAGGTTATCAATGAAACCCCTTCATAGTAGATAAAGCGGAGGAACAACAGTGGTTTAGTTTTCAATTTTACTGTATTTAGAAGCCTGAATTTCAAGTAAAAATAATTTAGGTTCTTAAACTATGAAACCATTATTGGTTTCTTTTTTATTTTTCCTTAATTGTACACATTGTCTCTGCATTCCTCATGTTACAATCAATACCTGTTTGAGAAATAAATATACAAGACGAACATACAACAACCTCCAACAACATAGAACAATTTCTCTAAAGCTACCACAAAACATTTCTCCCATAATAACGAAAAACATCAAAATATACGCAATATTGTTTTAATAGATATGTATTCCCTGATTGAGAATACAGTGGTCTTTATTTAAAAGTACAGCCACTGCCTGTCACGAAAACAAGAGCCCAAGATATTTCATGGTTAATTAAAAACGTACTTAGCATTTTCTTTTAATCCAAATGAGCCACAAGGCAGGAGCTCAGACTTTTATTCAAAGTCACGCATAACCCTTGTTGCCGTAACTAGACTGGTGCTTCTACTATAGCTCTGATAAAACTTTTACATTCATGAGTCAAAGGTTAAATAAAGGAGAGGAAATGTTTTCTGTCAAATAGTCAGGTAAGGAATCTAACTTCTAGTAATCAAATAAAACTAAGGAAACTGCCTTTCCGTACCTAAATGTCTAATGTCTAGGGGCTACTTTTCTGTCTGGAAAATTGACACAAAATGTGTAAAATTGAAACATTCTGCTTCTAAGGGATTTGCCTAAAGGAAGAGCGAGAAAGCTTCAAGCATGGTCTGAACTGAAGAACTACAAAGGCTTACCACATAAACCTGTCTTCCTTATTAGAGCATTTCATTTGGAAATGTAGGTGACAATTTTACAGTCGTAAAATTAATGAAATCTAAGACTAAGTATTTTAATGATGCATTTTGCGTTCCTCTGGATACATAAGGTCAACCTCAGAGTCCATCAACAGTTTCAAGACTTTTAACAAAACAAATTTCAGTCAAATTATTTGCACTAAATATTTTTACTACTAAAACCATTCAGGTAATTCAAAAACAATTTCATGTAAACGCAGAAAGTATTATTGCTACTGCAAACAGCAATGGTATTTAGAAACAATACCCAGAAGAATTAAGTCTCCTTCTATTATTCAAAAGTGAACATTGAAGCTTCTACTGTGCCACTTCAAATCTCAACTGGCAAAATTATTATTTAAATTAAAACATAAAAAGTAAAAGTAGAAGAAAAGATCTAGCATAGTATATGAGCACAACAAGGTATATTACAATATTCCTATTGTGGTACCCCTTGTTCTTATGGGGTTGCATTAGCTCAACGGTTTGTGGAGAGGGAGGAGGTGACACAGCAGGACTCACACCGAGAGCTTCTCAAAGCAGCTGTGCAGTTTAAAGAAAAAAACAAAACAAAACTTGCAAAGGAATCACACAAAACTTCCAGAGAATGATCCAAGATTTTTTTTTCTCATCTTACTATGGTTTTGCATTTACTTGCACTTTGAATTTGGCAACTGCAGTCAAGCTCTGCATGATCATTTCAGACAATACTGTATCACAATTAAGTTCTTCAAACAAAAATGCCTGAGATAGCTACCTTTGGGGATTTTTATTTCACTGTATAAACAGACAGAGAACTTGAACAAAACATTCTGATTTGGGAGAAAATTCTGTTTACACATTTCCTATACATGCATATATAAAACATAAAAAAAAAACCCCACACATAAAACTTTTAGAAGAATTTTATATGTACAAGTATATTTTCTGTTTCAAACTACCCAGTTTAAAGCAGGACCATGTGGCTGCAAATTCAGAGATGATTTCCTTTAATTAGTGTTCCAGATGAAGAATGAATTATAGAGAGAAGTCCCATGAACTACAAGACTTGAATCTTAGAAGCAGCTTTAGGTCATTGGTGTAAAACCTGAAGACAAGCAGCCTTTTCTTCAGTTTTTGGTTAAGAATCCTGTTCAGCAGTTCAAATCCTATCTCTTCAGCTGCCCTGACATAGGTTAACACATGGTCTGGTATCATCCACAAAAGATGTTCACAAGAGAAAAGTTGTGTCCTGTTCCCCACTCATCAGCCTACCCAAATTTCTATAGAATTTCCTTCTCATCACTTTGACTGGCTTGTTCCTGCTCTTCTTTTCAGAGATTCTTACTTAGATTTTAGTTCTTTACGACCATTTCATTTAGTTAACTTTTCTATATTTGACTCTCGCTAGTTGTCTTTGTTAAAGCCCCAGTCAGCAATCTTAATATATTCCTCTTGTTTGAGGCGATATCCATGTATGTGCATATGTAGATGTATAGTTAGACATGGATGGTATTTATGTACGCCTGCATTTGTGTGTTTATATACAAGTCTATGACTGTTTTGTACATCTCTGTGATGGACAAGTAGTTTGAATTGCTCATATATCAGAGTCATTATCTGTATATACACACAGTGAATATAAATTTATGCTATTTTGCTATATGGAAGAGAGAGAGTGTGAATATGCATGCATATATATATATATATAAAGAAAGCATTCATTTGTTAAGACTTCTTTGATTTTGGTTAATGTAAGATCAACAAGCATATACAAAGGAAAGCCAGATAAAATGTCAAAAGAAATCTGCTAGTGAGTCTTCTTTCACTTGGTCACTTCTAATGAATCTTGGATTCAGAGCAGAAACCAGACTGGATACTAAAATGCATCGGATGGAAATACTGATGCATTCTTTCTGTCTGAGTTGAACACAACGAACACACAAGTTGGAGAGAAATGGACTACCAAGCTAGAAGTACAATGCCAGGAAGCTAGTGCTGTTACACATTCAGCTATGTGTTGTAAATTTGAAATTGTCACAATAATAGCAATAAAGGCAATGCTTTGATTAAGATTTGGTGAAAAATTATAGCTTGCCACTTTTCATTTTCCTAGTTATTTCTACCAAGTAACAGACCGTTGACTAATCTTTAGCTGATGTATGTCTGTGGGGAAATGTTAAAAGAAATACCCAAGTTTACACCAGCTGAGAATTTGCGTCCTTTGCTTTGCAGCACTACATACAGTATTTACATGTGCGTACTTGAGTGCGCATAAATGATTAAACATTTGTTATTATAGCATTAGAAGCCAGCCAGACAACATTAGCAGTACATGCAAAAAATTTTGTTTCTAGCTTGATGAGGGAAGAAAAGGTTAGCCCAGAGAAAAGAGCTAAAAGTACACACATACATTCTCTCTGTGCCTTACAAGTATATCCACAAAAGGTACCACAGAGAAAAGGGTTAAGTTAAAGAGTTATTGTCAGGATCACAGAAAGTCAATTAATTTCCAGAATAAAATCTTTTCCTTTTGCTGTTTTCATTATAGGGTAGTAATTATTATTTTTTGCAATATTTATAGCAAATACTTATTTTTAAATTACCTGCCAAAAAATGTCCAGTGTACTGGCTCTCCACATGAGTTTAGAATCTGATTAAAAGTTCACAGAAGTCTTGATGTGATATTTCCAGTAATTTTAAGCACTACTCTACAAGTTTCTATATTGTCTTGGGTTTTTTTCCCCTCCGCGTGTTCTTTTACTGATATTCTTTTACAAGTCGATGTAGGGTTTGTCTCCCTAACTCATGTGGTCTATCCTAATGACACCTTCCATGACTGCCCGACTTCCATGTTGTACAAATATCTGATATTCTGCTTTTCTCCATAAGCTTCCTAGCTTACTCTCCAAAATTCTCCAAGTTGCCCCTCTGCTGCCAATGGGTTTGGCTCTTTGGCAACACATGGCTCCTCTTTCCCCTTGTGTTTGGGGATTCTCACTTTTAATGCAATTATACTTCAATCTTGTTCTTCTCATGTGCTGCTGAACTGGATGTTCCCATTTCCTCTATGGACATTACAGGCTGCTAGGCTCTTAACTAAAGTGGCAAATTTGCCTTTTAATTAAAGCACTCTGCCTTTTAATTAATTTCATTCAAGGGGTTTTAGGACAGCTAAACAATCGGGTTTTTTCATTACCAAAACAATTATCTTACAGGAGAAGAAAGAAAAAGCAGAGGGAGAAACAAAGTATTTCACTGGGGTCAATTTCTCCATCATCAATATCTCTTCTGCAATAAGGTGGCATACTCTTTATTGAGAATTATCTGGCCCTGGCGTTTCTTATATTAGATATAGTCTGGCCAAAGAACATGGAAGAAACCCCAAAAAATCATATTTCCAAGGAGAGGAATACAGAATAGTTCACTTTATTGTTAAATTGACTGGATACTTGTCAAAGATCTCATTAGAAAGTAAAAATATCCACACAATATTCAAAGCCTCTAAAGCTGCAGTGTATTGTTCTCTGCTTTTAAGCAGAGATTTCACGTTATTTAAATGGAATTATTTAGCCTCACACAAGAATACCATCACATGGGGCTTGGGACCACTTTTCATGTGAAATCAATGGTGACGCTGTTGTAGAGAAATGATAGCCTGATAGAGAAGTACAACATATTATCAGAGGATGTGCAAAAGATAATTTTTTCTTGTATTTTTCTTATATGCGCTCCTTGACTCAATTTTTCTTATGCCAACTTACCTTAGAATACAAAGGCAGACCTTGCCTCCTGACGTCAAACGGCAAAATCCAAACCTTTGCTTACTTTCAATGTCGGTGAGCACGAAGGTAAAATGCTGTCCTACTTGGTTTTGGGACACCCTGAAAAATTAGAGACAGAGCATAAAACCACTAAACTTCATAAAAGACAAGCACTTAAGTCATTGGTTTCAAGCATTTTCATACTCAAGCCTCACTATCCTTCTCTCTCTCCTCACCCTCCAGGCTGCCTCCTGCACCCCACTCCCTCCCCTCAGCACAGAAGAGCCCAGGTCCTTCCTTCAGCCGTGTCTCCAGCTGCCGCCCCAGCCCCGCGCTCCGCCTGACGTGCTCCATGGGATCTGGCCCCCAGTCCAAACAGACAGGGCATTTCATAAGTTTTTTTCGTACATAACGCCTAAGCCAAGCCAGTACAAGCCTGCCACAGCTTGTTGCCTTTGAGCACACCTCAAGAGTGGAAAATGGTGACCAAAGCAAAGGTTTAAAATTCTACAAATAATTTATCAACTGTGATAATACAGGCCTGGCGTAAGACAGCCATTAGAAAACTAGCTTGTTCCCCCCGCACCTTCAGAATAGCTTTGTTGGTTAAACCCATAGCCTTCCCACACACCCACACACATCATCTTCCCCTTTTTGCGCTACACATTGCGCAACAAACAACTTTTCGCTAAGTTGCCCTTTTCCAGTGCAAAGTTGTTCGGCTCTGGAAATGCAAAAGCCAGAAAATAATCAAGAACAAACAGCATGAGAGCTAAAATAATAAGTAATAATATCTTCAAGACTGTATCAAAACCTACTTGATATAGAATACATTTACAGAAAATTTCACTGCCTGATGGTCCAGCTCCTCTCATCCCCAAACTCTGCTCAGCGAGCGTTCCCTCAGCAGTGCAGGCTCATCTGTTTTGTTCTCAGTTTCTGCCTCCCCTCCAGTGTCACCTCTGACTCTTCGTACTCATCTCTAGGTCCCAGTCCCAACCTCCGCTCCTGACCCCCTACTTTCTGCTTGGCAGCATGAACCTTTTCCCAATTTCTTTTTAAGAAGAAATGGCATTTTCACTGCCATGACATGACTCTTATCTCCTTTACGCTCTCAAGCCAGGCGCCTTTCTCTCTTGTGCAATTTGTCAGCTTCAAAAAGAGGATCACTGAGAGCATGGGATGGACCTGCTTTTCAATGTGGCCAAACTTCAGTGATCTTCATAGAAATTGCAAAATATATTCAATGTAAGCATTTTAGAACTGTATCTGAAGTTCACTCACAGAAATACATATTGCACTTTTCCAAAATCTCCCAAAGAGAATCAGCTTTAGGTAGACTCGGCATTTTCAGCCAGGAGAGATAATGTGTGGCATAGAATGAATCATAGAATGGTTTGGGTTGGAAGGGACCTTCCAAATGAAAACAAAGCTGTTATGGGGAGTGCATGGAGATTTGAAAATGTAAAACGTAGCAGTTCTGCCTGTAATTCTATTGTCTTCTGTTCTGTTCCCATTCTTACACGATCTTCTACAGCAGAATACCTAAGCACCTGCTAGTAAGCACTATGATTAACATGTGTCGTGTGTGGTTCATTCTCAGATGCCAAGCTGAAAATGAATTCCCGCAGAAGCTGAGAACCATCACAGATCTCACAGATCTGACAGTCTCACAAGAGCACAAAATATTTTTTTTAATTTATCCACTGCAATATGGGTTGGGTTTTTCTGTTGTGATTTTTTTAAAATCTCCACCAAAATAAAATATAACAATTTTCCCCTAGGAAAGAACATAGAAGGTGATCAAAGGGCGAGAGAAGTTACACAGGACACATGCACATTCCACTGCTTAACACGTGCATGACAAAAGCTTAAAAGATTAGTTAAGTGATACCACTACCCAGACTGTACAGTCTCCCACTCATTTCAGTTTGGTCTAGTCCCTTGTGAACATCCAGTGACTAGGCTAAAACAAAAGCCTGTGCTGAGCATATATGACATTACAAGATACCTCTAGTCCAATATAATCACTGGAAACCCATGAAAATTAATGGAATTTTTTATTTAGGTAACTAAACTCAAATCATTAAGACAAGCATTTTTCTCACTTGTCTTCAACAGACTGGAACAACCTAGTGTGCTCTTTAAATGCAGCAAACGCTCAATGGCTTTCACTCAGTCCTTCATTTTTCCAGTTCTGCGTAGCTAGCATGCTGCCTGTATGTTATGCCTGATAAAACAGAGAGCCATCAATAACAATGTGTTATTACTCCCCTGCCAATGATGCAATTTTCTATTTCACATCTTTACATTTCTCTCTTTATTCCTGAGAACAGATCGCCACTGAAACCTGCAGCATGGTTTCAGTATCCCTGCGCACACTGTGGCTTACAGAGTAATGCAGCAGTAGCTGGTCGGTCGGTAGCACTGGTAACGTCGGTCGGTAGCACTGGTAACGCACCGTGCACAGCAACCTTGGCTGCCTCCTGCTCCCACCCCCTCTCTGCTCTGCTGTGTCCCACCATCAGGCTCGGAGCTTTCTGCAGCCATGACTGGCTTTTTCTTACACCGCCAAACACCTGGCATGGTTAGGCTGAGGTCTCTATCCATCTATCTTAACCCAAAGAGGTCATTAATAATTCACAAAAAGCAATTGTTAATAGATGCCCATCTATGCAGGCGTTGCTTTTAATGTACTGTGTACATGTATGTCAGGCAAATGACTACTCCATCACTGCTTTAAAACAATTCCTTAGCCCTAGAAAAACCTCTTATCAGTAAGGATCTCTTGCTTTCAGTTATTTGCCTCCTCCCTTCCCAAAACCTGAAGATGACATGGGAAAATAATCGGTTTTGCAATTAAAGCATACATAAAAATGTCACTAAGCAAGACCACTTTAAAAATGAGATTTAACTTCTGGTATTGTCTATCAAAAATAGCCCAGCCAAGTTATGACAGTT